TTCTGAAGAAGGGCCTAGGCCCGAAATGTCAGCTTTCCTGCTCCTCTGATGCTGCTTGGCCTGCTGTGTTCATCCAGCTCTACACCTTATTATCTCATGTATCTCCAGATCTGGTTTCACCAAATCGCTGCACATTTCATTCATTGTGCAATAATTGACAATGTTCTATTTGCTTTCATAATCGTTATCTGTACCTGCATGCTAACCTCTTGTGTTTCATGAATCAAGCCCCTTGGATCTCTCTGTTCTACAAATTTCTGCAATCTCTCTCAATCAGCTAAATTTTTGCCTCAGTTGACATATCTTTTGCAGCTTTGCCAGCAGCCATCAATACATAATGGACAAAATGTGCAAAGTATAGTTGGTTATTGAACAAGAGATCGATTTCCCCCTAAGATTTTCAAGAAGTGATTTGAAAATTTCCTTTTTAGAAAATTGGAGAAAATATGTTCAGCCATATTTCCTCAACTGTGCTTTAGGTATTGGTCCCATTAAGTTGGCATGCGCCTTAAACTGAGTGGAATGATTATTGCAGGCACAGCATCTAAAGTATTCCAGTAAACATATATAATGCAGTAAATGGATTTGAAGTTTTCAATCAAGTCTTTGCATTATACGTCTTGTACTGTTTAATATTCAAGTGTCCCCTCATATGCTACAATAATACTATACAGGATTTACTAGAGAAGCAATTCAAATCTAGACTTTTGTATGACCCTGCTGCATATTTTTGCTTCCAAAAGACCAATCTGATCTTCTTATGTTGACTTACGTCTATTCCTCAGCAATCATTTTGACACATAATATAGTAGCAACGGAGTAGTTTGGTACTTCAAAATCCTTTTTGTTCCTCAGGTTCTTCTTTGGGTCTCAATCATTTTCAACCTTCTTTAGGAGTGGTCGGGGAAGGTGGGAATTAAAAGATTTTGGTTTTTTTTGAGTTTTCAATAGGCATAAACATTTCTTCTGTATGATTTAAGGCAAATTGCTTGGCATCGCTTTCTGTTCAGGTCCCAGAATTTTTGTGTGTCATCTTTGGGAATGGTAATGTATTGTGATCTGAAATCCCCATACAATGACAATAATGGAGAAACAGCTTGGTCCAATCAGTTTGGATGAGATATAAAATTGAATTTTTGGTCACTTGTGATTGACCTGAAGTGCCTATTTGCTGCAATGACTATTTTGATTGATTCTTAAATTTTTTTTTAATTATGTCATGGGATGACCTGTTTGATTGATCACATTCTTCGTGTCTCAATATGAGATTGTTTTGTTAAACGAAAACCATTGCACCAAGCTGTTTTTAAATTATAAGGTACTGATATCTTATGCAAAATATTGAGAAACTGATGAGCTTTTTTGAGCAGATTTCTTTCTTTCTTTGTCCCTTTGGAGTAAGTAAGTTATGATTTTGATTTTCTTTTGGCCACTGAGGCACTATTGTCTTCAACAAAGAATTCAGTGTACTCTGGTCATCAATTTTTCATGTAAATCAGTGGAAATTCTTTCTATAAATGTCTGCCTTTGAATTAGACTTCAGATTCCACTGGGTATGATACAAACTTTTTAAAATTTTTGTCATAAATAAGAAATGAATTAACTGAACTTTTAATAAATAAGGGTCTGAGAGAGGCAGTGCCTCTGGAATAAGCATTGCTTATTCATAGAACAGGATATGATGGTTGCTTTTTTCCGAGAATAAGATATGTGGCACTTTGTAGCAGAATGAATGAGATGTGGAGGGAAATTTATGACACCATCTTACATTCTCCTCTTCCAAGCTGCTCATTGCAATTGCTTTTATTTTGGCAGGATAATGGGCTAAACAGGCTCTCCATGTCCACGGTCAACAGGATTCAAGTCAGTGCCAACATCTATGCACTTCCCTTGCTAATACACCTATCTGATATTTATTGGGACTCCTGTATTTAACAGAAATCTTGAATGTGATGTTGCTACAGCTTGAGGCAAAGTAGATTTTACTCATCTGCTGACCAACAGCTTTCCATCATTTCTATAGGTTTGGTGAACTTAAAAAGTAGTTTTCTCTTTTCTCTTTGTCCCAGCTCATTGCCTGTTCCATTGCTAATATTGGCAATGAAATTAGGTATACCTCTGCAACTCACTATTCTTACCATGCTCTCTCACTCACTGCATGACTAAGGAAATGGGATACCTCATGCAGTGATATGGGAAGTGGAGTGTCGAAAGTAGGTGCTACCTGGTCTGGAAAAGGCAGTGACTGAGGCATGGAGGGAGTGAATAGAACAAGAAAGGAGGCCACAAAATTTATTCATGTATCGATGTATTCCTGCTCCTTTTTGCTTGCTTCATCACCACTTTTGTCATTTTATCACTGTCTTTTTACCTTATCACAGATGGTTTATTCTATCCTCTCCTCCATCTCTTTTCCAGCCTTGGAACTTGCTTGAAGCGCCAGGAACCCAGGTTCAATTCTAGCCTCGGGTGACTGTCTGTGTGGAGTTTGCTCATTGTCCCTCTGTCTGCGTGGGTTTCCTCCGGGTGCCTCGGTTTTCTCCCACAGTCCAAAGATATGCAAGTTAGTTGGGTTGGACATCCTAAGTTGCCCAAAGTGTCCAGGGATGTGTAGGTTAGGTAGATTAACCATGGGAAATGCAGATTACAGGGGTAGGGTAGGGGGATAAGTCTGAATGGGATGCTGTTTGGAGAGTCGGGGTGGACTTGTTGGGCTGACTGGCCTGTTTCCACACTGCAGGGATCCTGTGATTCTATGAAGAGTTGACATACATATTTTGTTTTTATTTGTTCATGGGATGCAAGCATCCTGGATTTATTGTCCAAACCTAGTTGTTGTTGAGGTGGTGGTTGGAGTGATCCACTTGCTTAAAGTGCTGCAGTTCACTGTGTTTAACCACATGCGCAGTGCAGCTAAAGAGTTCATGCATTTTGACCCAGTACTCCGCTACTTGAAATGATAAACTCCTGCTTGTCAATAGCAAGCTGATTGGGTTGGGAAGGAGGAAAATTACTTTTGTGTTGGCTTAGCATTAGGCATTAAGTCCAGCATCCCAATCAGAGGGAATTTTCATCCCAAAAAGACAATCTTTTCACATAAGTGGCAATAAAGATGGAGCACTTTTTATCTATCTTTGTGGAGGTCTGCTCACTTCTTGTTTTCAGCTCCTTAATAGCATGTTATATTGTCACCTGTAGGCAAGCTGGTTGATAACTTACACAGTTGTAGCATTTCATATTCAACTATACCATTTTGGGTTTAGCTGTTTACAGTACTTTGCCTATTGGCATCATCAATTACAGCTTCTGACATTCTGTTGCTATGATCAGAATGCCATCTGATGGAATCGGGGGTTGCAATTGGAATTCTGTCTTTAGCAATGAAGGACTGAATTTCAAGATAGCTGTATGAGCTGTCTGCACAAACTGTTCCCTGAAAGCACCGCAGCTTCCCAGGAAAAGGAACATTTACTTGGTATGCACTTGTTAAAAGAACTGTTGTATGATGTAGGTCTAATTGGAAAGGATTGCTAATTCCAAAATACTTTAATGTGCAGCACCATCTGCTGCCTCCAGAGAATGCATGAGACATGTGACCATAACCTGGTGGGTCCATATTCAAGCTTGGCTACGCCCTCATAAAGGCTACTTCCATTGAAGCAAAATTGCAGTGCAGCTGTAACCTTCAAGAAGACTCACTTCCCAGTTCGGGGTCACAGGCTTTGTGATTTGAGATGAGGAGGAGTCTGGGGCATGATTTTGCAGTGGAAATGTCTCGAAGCCTCTTTGTTCATTGTTATTCGGCATGAGAGTGTGTTGGCACGTAGATGATCTCCACTGAAAGTTATGCACAGTTTACATGGGAATCTCATTAACTGCCTGACATCAGAAATTGTTGGTTTAATTTGTAATAGTGTCATGTGTTTTAGACCATTTTGAATGTGTTTATTTCCTCTCCGTTGAGTTTCAGACACTGATGTAGCAAAGGAAGAATGTGCAGGTGTCATTCATTGTTATAGATTAACTCCTGGAGATGGTAGAAAGCAACTGTTGTTTTGTTCTTCAGATTCCTTTTTGGCTAATTGTTATTTTTATGGGACACTGCTTCAGGGAGATGCCTT